GAATTCATCCTCTCTGTTGTACATGAACATTATGACGCTTTCATTGATGTTACTTTTTAAATATAAATTATGATTCTGTACAGAGACAAAATCATAATTGTGTTGCAATAGTTAAATATGTTGAGGAAAGAGGTTTTGATCCTTTCACACCTGGTGGATGACACCAGAATTTTTATTTCAAATCAGTCCTGCAAGTTTTTGTTAACCTGATGAAGATGAATTAAGAAGCTGCTTCATGTCCCGTGGCCACCAGGGGGCCACAATATGAGCAGATTGTGGCAAAAACACCACATACTTTTTGAGCAACATTAATCTTAATATATTTTAGTCTACCAGTCAGAAAATCAGTTTTAGACTTCTAAGCCTACAAGACACTTTTGAATCCCGTGAATATGTTTGTATGTATGATGGCTGTGTGTAAAGTCATGTGATGATGTTTGCTTTTGTAGGAGAATTTGAAGAGGAGTCGAAGCAACCAGTGCTGTCTGAACAACAGAAACACCAACTCAAGCATAGAGAGCTCTTCTTGTCTCGACAGTTTGAATCTCTACCTGCTACCCACATACGGTATGTGTTCACAGGAGCTTCTGACGGAACTTTTCTCTCAACCTTGACACCAACCATGCACAGATATTACAACGATGATATGTTGTGTCCCAGTGAAGGACATTCCATTCCCTTTCTAGGAAGGGCTGGCCCTCCTTTTTTAGCTCTCAATAAAATGAAGGGCAGCTTTCTATACTGCCTGCAATATTGTAGTATGAAATATAGTTTATCAAACCTTGTTTTTGTGGAAAGTCTATTCATTGTTGTCGTGGACATCCTTGTCTCTGAATGTCTCCTCACTGTCTCCTCAGGGGAAAATGTAATGTCACCCTCCTCAATGAAACAGATGTTTTGGTTGGCTACCTGGAGAAGGAGGTAAGACACCATCTGGCACTTATGGCACCCACTTATTCTTAGTTTGACCTGACAAAATACAAAACAAAGACACTGGAATACTGGAGGAACACCATTGTTTGGCACACAGCTGTAATGTGTTGTATGTTCTGTGCAGGATTGTTTCTTCTACTCGTTGGTGTTCGACCCTGTCCAGAAGACTCTGCTGGCAGATCAGGGCGAGATCCGTGTGGGCTCCAAGTACCAGGCAGAGATCCCTGACAAGCTAGCCGAGGGTGGGTGGAGATAGAAAGCAAACAAATGCTTCCTGAATTCAGTCACTACTTCTACCCATAGAAAGAGTAGTGGAACAGTAAAGAGTTGATTTTCCTGAATGCCGAGTAGACGATGTTGAAACCAGTTTCTGCTCATCTCAGGTGAATCAGATAACCGGATCCAGGAGAAGCTGGAGACCAAGGTGTGGGACCCCAACAACCAGCTCAAAGACCCTCAGATCGACCAGTTTCTGGTGGTGGCAAGGTAATACTCCCCTACCATCTGTCACCCAGTTGCTGCATCTTCATTTCTAGATCGTGTTGCCATGACAATGTCTGGCTCTACCATCAGCAGGGCAGATTTCTAGAAAAAATCCAAGAAATGACAATTTTGATGATCTTTTTAAAATAAATACTTTTTACAGTATATAACATACAACATACTTTGTGGAAGGTTAACCTAAGATTGTTGTGTTATTACACACATGAGTTTATAGGAAATATGTCATCTGTCTCTCCCATTCTGCATGCCGAAGTATCCTGGGATTGAACCCCAATTTACCCCTGACTGCTTTGCCAATAGTATATGAGTAATATATGACAGAGTAAGTGCTGTACATAGATGCTGATTATGAATGTGTGTGTGTGTGGCAAGACTCTAAAGTGCTTTGAGTGCCATTTACCAAAAATGCATTAGAATATGTAATTAGTATAACAGACGATGCTTGATGGTGTATCATGTTTGTTTTAATAAAATCTACAGTGTTAATTTTGGACGGGATCACCCTGCTATCCATAAATTGTTCCATTAGCAAAACACTCCCACTAGTGGTCATTTACCGAACATTCAGTACATTACTGTTGAAACAGTGGCGGTATTTCCCTGTTCCAAGGAAAGGGAAGACAGATCGGTGATGGTAACCAGTATCTGTTTGTTTCAGAGCTGTGGGGACGTTTGCTCGGGCCCTGGACTGCAGCAGCTCCATCCGCCAGCCCAGCCTTCATATGAGTGCAGCAGCAGCCTCCAGAGACATCACACTGGTGAGACCATATTGAAAGTATTTAGAAATAATAACAACGATTATTTGTATAACAGGAATAGAGGTCCAAAGGTGACAAGAAAGCAATTTTATTCACTGTTTGTTATGTTTTATTTGAAATAGGTTATCATTCAAATGACATGTGTCTTGTGTCATTTCTGTATAGTTAACAACAGTAAACTCCACTCCTGTATATTAACAGCCAAACTAGTTCACTGAAAACATTTGTACATAGTGCAAAAGTATACAAGTTGGATTACAAACCAGGAACAGCAGGGGTGTTCCTGTGCCCCAGATCTCCCAAACGCCCCAAGTCCGTTCTCTCTTAATTAGATGCACAGAATTTTATTAATAGTAAATTACACTAATTGTTAAGTTCAACTCCTGAATTATTAGTTAACACCAAAAAAATCTTCAATTTTCTTTATCATGTAAATATTTTATCCCGCAGGGTGAAGTATACTGTATATTGACAGGTGGTTATTTCTGTCAGTTTTGATCGGGTCTGTGTCTTTTACAGTCAAGATAAACACTGTGTAACCCCATCGGGTTACATACAACAAATTTGATCATTATGTGATGAGAGAGAGAGACAGTTTACTGCCTAAATTGAATGCGGGTACTACAATTTCATACAGACCGTCAACAAAATGTTGTCAGCTCTAGGGCTCTAACAGGCTCCTTAACATTGTAAAATTACATTACTGTATTTGGAACTTTGACAAAGTGGTTTGACATATTCCTAGACTCTGAATGTTCAAAATTGTGTTTGTGTCTAATGGCAATATTATTGCCCAATGAAAAGTACTGTCTTGGATGATTAAGCTCTAATTAAGTCTGTACCATCTCTCAGTTCCATGCAATGGACACACTGCAGAAAAATGGCTATGACCTGGCAAAAGCCATGTCCACCCTCGTCCCTCAGGGAGGTCCAGTGCTCTGCCGAGATGAGATGGAGGAATGGAGTGCCTCAGAGGCCATGTTGTTTGAGGAGGCTCTGGAGAAATACGGGAAAGACTTCAACGACATTCGTCAGGACTTTGTAAGCTTTCCCACTGTCTCTTACACCATAGATGTGGATACTTTAATAGTGCTGATAAATCCTTTAAACTTCAGCAATGTGGACTTAATTGAGCTGTATTGTACACATTGTTTATGTAGGATTTGTGTTCAATGGATGTTTTATTCCTCAGTTACCTTGGAAGTCACTAGCCAGTGTGGTTCAGTTCTACTACATGTGGAAGACTACAGACCGCTACATCCAACAGGTAGGACCTAGCCCATCCTTAAGTAACAAGAATCCCTGTTTAAATTCGTTTTTGAAATGTGTCTTTATCTAGTTCCTCAAAAACCTCAAATGTTTTCTCTCAATCAGAAACGATTAAAGGCAGCAGAGGCAGATAGCAAGTTGAAGCAGGTGTACATCCCCACCTAGTGAGTATTACTGTCAACTGCTACACCACACATCTACCTTGAGTTAGAACTGCCGCCAAAATAACTCTCTGTCCTCCCCTTTCTTAACCAGCACCAAACCCAACCCCAATCAGATCATGGTTCCTGGAAGCAAGCCTGGTATGAACGGGGCCACAGGCTTTCAGAAAGGACTCAGCTGTGAGAGCTGCCACAGTAAGTACACACAGGATGGGAGAGCTGAAGAAAAAAATGGAAACAAGACTTATTGTAGAACAACACCTCCTCTATATCCTCTTAATATGAGAAGAAA